GGGCGGAGCTCCCCGCTCCTCCGGCTGCTGGGTCTCGTTCTGTGCCGCCGAGGCTCCAGGAGTGTGACACTGGGGGCACCTCGACTGCCCCAAACCGCAGTTCCCTCACCCCTCTCGAGGAAGGCGTCGCTTCACCTCCATCACCTTTCCACGACCAGCAGCTTTACCCCAGCGCCCCGCACTGCCTCTGCAGGCAGGTGCCAGTGTCACCTCCCCCCCACCTCGGCTCTGGGAGCCTCTTTACGGAGGATTTTATTTTTTTTCCCTTACAGCTGCTTCTCGCCTCTCCCCACCGTGAGTTCCCATGTAAACGTAGCAATGGCTATATTGGTGCCGTATTTTATATCTGAGCTGTTCCTTGCTTTTTCCATTCCCCACCCGTGGTTGCTTGCTATGCATTTTTAGAACCTTTGAAATAAAATATTTTTACATATCATTTGTAGAAATACGTGTGTATTTTAGTCACCTCGCTACCTCAGATGTACTTTCAGCTTTTGACAAAGCGCTTTTGTACACCTGGGACACGGCCCCAGCAGCAGGCAGTTTTCCCCCAGCATGTCCTGGAAGGCAGAGGCTGCTGCCTCGGCTTCCTGCTCTTCACCACCACCCGCCTGGTTAGCACTCCTGCAGCACAGCTCAGGTATCCTGGCCATTAAAAATCTCAGAGAGATCCGTGGTTTTCTGCTTCATGTATTAAGTTTCAGCCACATCATTCTTAAAGGCCACCTGCGTTCCTCTAGATTCCATTGCCACACACATCAGCATTCATTAGCTAAACTTGGATGTGCTTCAGCGTCTCCTGGCTGTGTTTGTGTTTTAAAGAGCGCTGATCTAGCTGACTCTAGAAAATGAACTCCAGAATAGTGCAGTGTGAACATGTATGAAACAGCACTGTCTTAACCAGAGCACCGAGCAGCAGCACGCAGACACGACTGAGTAACTTCAAAGAAACATGCTTTGTTCTCGTCACACTGTATTTTGCAATGGATGGTTCTCCACTGTGTATGTGTTCCACAGCGCTGTGCGCAAGTCTGCACTAGCTGTCCACTCCTTGGTTGCAGACAGCAAATGTGTCTGGTATCATACAAGAAATAATGCTTTTTCTGAAGCATGCCTGTGGAAATTCTTGTCAGACAGATTTAAATGCCTTCCACTCCAGTTCTCCACAGGCAGAACTGACACCTAGTGCCAATATACACAATTCCTCATTCTCCCAGTAGCCAAACTGTTGCGGGTTTTTTTATGGTTACACGTTGGCATTTTGTACTATGAGGAGAAGGGCAATAGCATGTTTACTGCAGAATCAATCAAAATTCATAGTTAATTCACCTATTTTTTTACGAGGCAAACTTTGTGTAATTAGGAAAGCCTTTTTCATTCTTTACCACATCAAGTGGGCTGTGCTCCTGATGCAACTACCTCTGTCCTTTCCTTCTGCCAGCATGAAAATTCCTCTCTCCTGTGAGAGACGCTGTCATTGATTTACCTTTGCAGAGTCCTTTCACTTCCGTCATAAAGTAAGAACTAACTTTTTGTCCCTAAGAATAAATATTAGGGAACAGTTAAAATAAACAGTGGATAGTGAATGTTAGAGAGATGTTGAAAGTCAACAGGATCTCAACATCAGAGACTCAAAGCACATGAAAAGCAGGCATTCAGTGAAAGGAGGTAAGAGGTTATTTCAGGGTATTGACCTGCAAGTTTATTAGTCATTTCACTGGTGGTTTTGACTTGCTAAAAACAGAAAGTAAAGAATGTCATGCTGTTACAAAATTAAACCAATAAATAAGGTAACTGGAGCAAGGGGTTGGAGGGGGAGGCAGAAGGTTAGAAAAAGTGGCATAAATTTACAGTTTTGGAATATCCAAGAACTTGAAGAAAAAGCCAGTGCCAAAGCTGGCTGTGCTCTGCTGGGAACACAGCTCTGGTGGAAACGGACCTGAAGCTTATCGTGGTCCAGTACTGGAGGACATCCTATATATAAGCTAAAGAAAAGTTAAACATTGCTTAAATATTGAAGAAGTAAAAATGGTAAAATGCTTTCTCAAATGGAAGCATTGTTTAAGAAAATAAGTTAGAGGAGAAACTGAAGCGTTTTTTTAGAAGTAACTGTATGACAATTTGAAAAAGACACCAAAAATGTACCAGAAAGATACTGTGCTTGGAGGTGTTCAGGGCAAAAACAAGATCTCAGTCAAGGGGGGAAAAAAAAAAGAAACAAAGACCGAACGTTACTTTTTGATCTTGACTCCTCCCAAGACAAGGCTGACAGTTGTCTGACTGGCATCAAATAGACTGGTAAAATAAAACCATGCTGATACCTGCTGCAATTCTGCAAAATAATGTGTAATGGGAAAAAAACCCCAAACAAACAAACCACCCTATACTCTGAGGGAGAACTGAAGCAATGCTGTACTAGATTTGATTTTTTATTTTAAGGTTAAATAATATATACTTAATATGCCCCCTTCTGATGAAAGGCTGTTAAATCTTCAACAAGATTGATTTCATTTTCTCAAATACAGCAAGGAGGAATCAGGACAGTTTTGTAGCACATTAATTACCTCTCAGCACAGGTATGTTTTATCTGAAACAACTTGCTCACAGCAGGGTGGGCTCGCCTAACAGCTCATCAGCAACAAAAGGGAAGTTTTCTCCCTGCTCCCACCCAGGCTGTTCATCCCCTGTGGGTTCCATTACATACACTCAGCTACCTGGAATAGTTCACAGCCCAGGTTTATTTTTCCCCAGACATCTGGAAGTTTACTGATTTTAAGGCAGGATCTGTGGAAATTCCAATCAGGTTACAACACAACAGCAATACCATCTTATCAGTTAATGTTCAAGAGGATTGCTTTGTGCATGTTCCTTAAAGCAGTTATTTACACAAGAGTGCATATGCAAACTCTTAAGATGCCCAACAGATGAAGACATCTGATGTTTACTAATTGCTGTTCACTCCGTGCATTACCACCTATCTATGGAAAAGAACATAAGAACAGGGTTTAACATAAGAACATGGTTAAGAATCAAAAGTACACCACTTATTGTGAGTTGTCATAGTCAATGTAGGAGCTACAGAAACATCCTTTGATAGTCAAGATTTATTTGGCTTTTCTGTGGTGCTCACAGACACTATGAACAATTTTACAATTGTTTTTTTTTCACATAGTTATTAAAATCTAAAAACTATTAATTCTGTGGGTATTTTTCCTAAGACTATTTCAAATATTTTTAATTTGATCAGACAAATTGTCTGATCAGACAAATTGGCTTGTAGACAAGCCGCCCTTTAAAACTGGATGTGAAATTCCAGTATCTCAAATACTGACGTAACAAGTCATGCCTGCCAAGCTGAAGCTTTTACTTAGTCAGTATTTAAAGACATAATAAAGATTTCCAATCTTTTGCATCACAGCTACAAAGTTGTTGGAAAAAATAAAGCTGCAACTACCAAAAATAACTTTGTCACATATACACATCACTCAGCAAGAAATCCAACACTAGGGAGCAGTTTTATTAGATAAGCAATTCTACTGATGGTACAACCATAGATAAAGATAAATAACTAAAATGTTAAGACATTCTCAACATATCATTATGAATTCCAAATTCTGATCTGTGTTATGCTTCTTTTAATAGGATAGAAAAACTGTCCCTCACAGTCTATGGAACATGAAGCCTAATCACGGCTTCAAAGCCCTCTCCTTAATGTAACATGCCATTAATTTCTGGTTTCATAGAAAACAGACAACCAGCACATGATTTTACCACTTTTAAAAAAAAAAGCATTTACACTTATCTAAATATGTAAAAAAATGGGTTGAGTTGGGATTCTCTCCTTTTTAAAAATGTGTCTTCTAGAACTACAAAAAACTTGCATTTACAAAATAGTTGATAAAAATATTCCTCTGAATTGTACAAGAAGAAAGGTATAACGACCACCAATTAAAGACCTGGTACCAGATGTTACTCGGACTTAGCTTCTTTCTCTATTGCAGCATCAGATGCTGGGGTCTGAAAAGAAAACAAAAAAACATAACACTTCAATGCAGAAAGTTTCTAAGTGACTCGGCCTCTTAGTCTGTAGTATTTTTAATGCACGAGTGAGCTAATGACATAGGGAACAACCATGGTTTGTTTCTACATACCACGCTTCACAGTCTTAACAAACTGGTGTCATGATCTGCTTATTTCTCTTGGATTATGACCTACTAAAACCAAGCTGGCTTGAAAGGGCTTCTGTCTCCTCAGATGCATCCGTACGAATTTCAGAATGTTGCTATTGTTACTACTCAGTACACACTGCAGAGGATTTTCATTTTTTTAAAGAAGAAAGACCATTTCAATAATTACTGCCTTTATGACAGGAAAAGGGGATTTTTTTAACCTACTAAGATAAAATCCCTGCATATAGGGTGTTTAGAAAAGACACTATAGATACACTTCATGCATTTAAATTTCAGTGCAGCACTGTTAACGTATTCTCAAATCTTACCACGTTTTAAACTAAGACTTAGAAACACAGTACTGCATTAAATTAAACATAATTTTGTAAAAATACATTCAGTGAACTGGAACTGTAGGAGCTATACTGTTTTCAAGTCAAGTGTCTATATGCTGTGCCTCAACTTCAGAACAAGTTAATACAAACTTCATTGATTAAAATTCCAACTGTGTTTAGATCAGAAAACTCACTGCATTTGCAGTGTAAGTTAAAAAAAGGAATGCAACATATGTATTAATGTAAAAATGACAAGTTTTGCAGCACCACCAGCAGAATGAACTGTTTGACCACAGTAGTACCCACACAGGAACAGCAATGCCAGTTCAGTCTTTACTGCTGCCTGGGGGAAGCTGTTGAAGGATGAAGTACAGAAGACATTTCCATTCACAGGTGTTAGTCCCTGTGAGGGTCACCAGAAGTCATCACTGGCCTCTCAACGGATCGTGGAGTAACAACAGCATCACTGACACTACTGTGCTGATGGACAACAGCAACATGCAACAGGACAGACTGTACCTCTGCTAGACTTGGCTATTGTATTAAACCTGCAATTTTGGCTGGTGTGACCAACAGGAGAGCAGCACGAAATTGTGCCCCAGAAGTCACTGTCCATTCCTTGTAAATTTACCTCACCTCTGCATTAGTGTACTAAATAGACCCGAGTTGAGAAATATTGCCAAATTCATCTTTCACTGGTATTGCTGAAATACCTGCACAAATTAAAAGACCAAATTATGTGATAGTAATACAGAGCCAGGGCTACACAAAAAGTTAAACCAACTAAAGACATTCCTAGTCATAGCATAACTTTTTGACAAAGATCACACTGTACGCTTGCAAATGAAAAACCATTACCCCAAACTAAGTTGTCTTGTACACTCAAGTACCATCCTGTACCTTCCTCACCCACCAAAACACATCATCTACCTAAAAACCAAATACTCTTTCCCTCTACTTGAAGATTTATCTGCACACTGATAGATCAGTATGACAGAATTCAGATAAGACTTTTCTTGTATCTTAAAAAAATTACTTTTCAATGCAACAACCACACAGGAAGTACGAATCACACATTTAAATTAAAAAAATCATCCAACCATCTGGTCAGCAAACTCCACTGAATGTATTAAAATCAGAGGCATTCAATATTGCAGAAACTTGAGACTAATTCTAGGCCTGTTACCACATGGACACTTGTGTTTCATCCAGTTGTTAACAGCTGCCCTAGCTAGTAAGAGGGCCTGCTTCTCCCTACAGATCTTGTCCTAAGTTTGAAACTCAGTTATGTCCACATTCCAGAAAAAGAATAGTGTGGAGGATGTTTCACGTGAGATGATCAGCGACTGCAAAAACTTCAGCAACACAGCCAGTTCAGCACAGTATTACAGCCAAGACTGATTTGTTATGTTCATTTCTTCAGCAACAACTATTAGCAGCTCTTTCACTTTATCTTCCACCAGCCTGTCCCTTTTCACAGCACTGTCTGTATCTATGACTCCTATAAATGTTGTATCAACTTTGGCTAAATCATTTCAACTTTGGGTTTTTTGTGAAAACTGTTTCCAGTCTCAAGAAAATTAATATTGCATTTGTCAAAAAAACTTCTGTGGCAAGAAGGAACCTCTCTTCCAGTAACAGCAAAGGCAAACTAAAACCCAACCCAAACATTCCGAAGACAGACACTCCCTGACACACACACACACAGCAATATCCCCTCTGTACACCCTGTATGTATTATTTTGCCAAGACCTACCCGCAGGGAAAACAAACCCTCTCTGAAGGACATCCTGTATCGGAACTTTGGTAAAATTCTCACCTTTTTCCTTAATTTCAGGGACTGTTACCACTGCATCTCTTTAGGGGAAACAGAATTTTCCAGGTATACCAACTAATGTTTCAATAGCCTACATCCTTGTTTTGGGAGAAAGAGATTCTACTGCAAGAACTGTGCATGCATCTGATAGATGTTTGGATAAACCAGTGCAGTAAGTCATCTGGCTGCTTTGCACCAAAGAATACAGACAACTTTACCTCCTCACTTTTAGCTTCCCCATTTTCTGCAGGCAAGTTGTCCTTTGTCTGTTCTTGGTTTGTCTCTTCTGTCTGTTTTCCTTTAGGCCCCTTTTTCCCCTTTGATGGAGCTTTCTTGTCCTCAGATTTGTCCTACAATGGAATACATTACCAGTAAGTAAATTCCTATGACCTACTAAGTAAACTTTGAAAATAATAAAACCCACACAAAACCAACACGGACTTGCTAAACACCCAAGAGCTACTACCAACAACCAATGACCTAATACATAGTTCAACTGCCAAAAAAGGTTCCAAACTGTATAGAGACAAACAATCCCAGTTTCAAATAGTCAGTAAAATGAGAGAATCAAACTGGGATGAGAAGATAACTAGAGTCTAGTGGCTAGACAGAGCAATTTGTAATATATAATTTAGCCTCCTGGCACATAAAACAAAAAAAAAACCCAATGTAGTCCTTCCACTTTGTAAATACAAAGCACTTCAAACACTATTTTTCCTCTTATACTGCTTTCAGGAATATAAGAGGAATTTCAGGAACCTATCTAAATGAATAAGAATTTCACTTAGATTTCAGGAATTTCAGGAACCTATCTAAATGACTGCATCACCTAGAAGTATTATTTTTAGTGCTCCTTTGCTAGTATCTCAGTCACATCCTCTGTACCTGCATGACTGTTGTTTCAATGGGTAGGGAAGAAGTATTTGTTCAAGAGCTATTTTTATATAAATATTTAATATTTATATAAGAAGTACAACTTCATATATTCATATATGAAGTACAACTTCATAGGTACAACTGTACACATGAATCTTATGTACAGCTGCTTCAATATTGAAGTAGTTCTGCTCAGTACCAAACCACTACCTAACACCCAGGAATCGGTGCCCACGTTTCTACACGACACTTTTGAGCGCTTCACAAGGATCTGCTCCAACAGAGGTGGAATGTACCTGTAGATACTGGCAGAAACATCTGAGAACGATACTTCAGCTAAATGAGTGTTCCCACAAGGATCATGTCAAGAGCAGCAAAAACGTTCGGACACCGCGCACCCCCGACACCAACCGGGATGCCCCTGGCACCGGCACAACCAACTCGACCACCTCCGCTCCCTCCCCTCTCCCCAGCGACTCTCACCTTTGCCGCTAACTTTTTTGGTTTCGGCTCTGCTTTGGCAGGAGCAGGTTTCTGAGAAAGAAAGAACAAGGGAGGGAGAGATTCAGCCCTCGGCAACCCCCATCACCCCCAGCCCAGCCTGGCAGG